GAGTGCAGAAAAGTTTAAATACATGCAAGACATACAGCATGAACCGCGGAGAGGAGCTTTATGGTTTTGTGCATTACAATGAGGAAACACATCAACGGTTGGCTTCGTAGGCATTTGTATCATTTCAGTTAAACCCGCGGCACTGAATCGAATCAAGGATATGGGCTCAGGTGATGAGGATAAAGTTTTAGGGCCTAGAAACATACAAATTGCCCAGCGTTCAAATAACACACACGTCAGATACCAACCTCAGGTGTACATTGCCGATATCTATAGTCAATCACAACGTCGTTTACCGCTCATTGTCGTCGAATAAGGTGCTGCCGTCCCAAGTTTTATATTGCACCCTGTGGCAGTGAATGGCGATATGAATTAGTTTCTAGGGGAGCCCCCTATTTAACATCAACCTCTTCTCACGCTCACGACGGTACAGCAGGAAACGCCTCCAAACCAGCCAGTGTACGTAGGAAATCCTAAAAATTTTGGTAAATAAAGGCTGCAAAGCTCAACACGAGTCCTAACTTGATTGCACACTACTGGTTTTACCGTCGCTTCGAGCTTAGCTATCAACACGAGAAAGATCGGTCATGTGCATACGCTTAAACTTGTTGGAGGTGAACGATAACACGAACGAACTTTCCCATAGATAAACCCAGAGCTGCACCTTCTGCTGGGAATATGGAATAATTGTGGGACATGTATAAGGGGCCTTGTGCGTGTTATGGAGTGCCACTCAAAACCGCGATACGAAAAAACACAGGATATGCCAGGATATTTTTCGGCGTTATTCCGTATAGTCCGTTACCATATCCGCGGAGGCGCGAAGGCAGGGTAGTCTGTCCCGCACCAAGACTTATCAGCATAGACCAATCGTCAACAGAACATTTATAAGTATATACATCCACAGTAAACTATATTGGCCGATGAAGTTTCACCGCCTGCGTCATTACAGATGGTCATAGATCAGAAATTCGGTGACATTGACCTGAAAGCGACATAAACCATGTGTGTCTAAGAAACATAGATTAGCGGTACGCGATGTTTTACATCCATTAAAGGCTTTGTCGGGCCCAACAGCCCACTCATTAAGCAACTTTCAAGAAGCTCCATAAAGACAGGTTGCTTCAGTGTGAGAGGAAGTCCATCCCTTTTTGGGCAGTGTTTAGAGGGGAGAACTCACAAAATTCGGTGAACAGTACGCAAGTATCTATGATATCTGTGAATGTGGAAGCGGCGGATCGTCTGACCAGTTAGCTTATTTGCAGGTATATTTGGCAATGTGAACATCTGGTTTCCAGCATAGAAAGCCAGGGTAAATGCAACTACCGATCTCCTGATAATTTAGGCACACAATATGGGCGCGTATAGTACCGTCGACTTGTTTCAGACTAACAGTTACTGACGAAACTGGTTTTCGCTGACTCTTGGCCAGTTTTCTGAACTCAGGTTTTAAGTTGCAAACGTCTCATGCCTCGTCGACATGACGTCCTCAGTGCGCAGCCCGTGGGTGTACTTCGAATTTGGAAGCGATTTATTGCGTGGTTAGGGTTAAAGTCATTGGCGTCCCAGCAAGGCAACGGTGATTGATTAAATGTTCGAAAACATGTAAGCCATAAATGGCGCCCTTCAAGAACCTGTTTATGCTCTCATAACTCCTGATAACATACTTGGAGGATCTGCCTGGATATCTCAACCAAAACGGCTATCTGTGTGCTACCGGCGTGGAGCCATGAAATACAGTGATGTAAGAAAAGGAAACCAGGTTAGTGCCACTGTCGAACTATTCGGCTAGCCTGCCAGCTGAATTTTCTCCATCAACCACGGTAAGCATAGTTTCCACGGAACTAGCCATCCGTCCCACGAGGTCCCATTTATTGGGCCAGATTATCAGCCAATTATGAATATGATGACATCTCGATATTATGAGCACTTCTTCGAAAACATGTAGGCCATAAATGGCGCCCTTCAAGAACCTGTTTATGCTCTCATAACTCCTGATAACATACTTGGAGGATCTGCCTGGATATCTCAACCAAAACGGCTATCTGTGTGCTACCGGCGTGGAGCCATGAAATACAGTGATGTAAGAAAAGGAAACCAGGTTAGTGCCACTGTCGAACTATTCGGCTAGCCTGCCAGCTGAATTTTCTCCATCAACCACGGTAAGCATAGTTTCCACGGAACTAGCCATCCGTCCCACGAGGTCCCATTTATTGGGCCAGATTATCAGCCAATTATGAATATGATGACATCTCGATATTATGAGCACTTCAAGCAAGAAGTAGTGGCTAATTTGAACATAGGGCACCAGTAGAAGGATGTGAGCTGTCGAATTTTCCTTCAATTCACTGACCCAAAGTGTCCATCTGCGCATGTCAGAACCATTTCTTGGCATAGACAGCCCACCGCAAAGCAGATATTTCCACCACGTTAAGAGAGAACGCCAGCGTCAAGCCAGTCAAACCTCTCACTCAGGTCACCGGCAAAATCTGTGGCTCTGCTGGGGGTATCGCTTCGGGTCTGTATGCACGCAGTATTACGTAATATTCGAGAGCGTTTCTCTTGCTAGTGAACCAGGCGGTCGTGCATGAGTGGCAAATATAAATGACCCGAACTGTAGAACTGCATGTGGATTCTTGTAGGATCCAGAAGTGAGAGTAGTGTTACGATAGACTGCAGGTAAGAGATGTCCGCGAGCAATCAGGTAGTCCGAACTTCACAAAGTACTCGAAAATACTTCCTGAATAGGATGATAGATGTACAACTAGGGGGCCAGCAGAGCCGTCACGGAATAAGTACCTCATGAAACGCTCCAAGCTGATAAATCAGAGTGGACGAGACTCAAGGGAACACAATAAATACTCATGCCAAAGGATCAACAAACCTTTCGAAAGATGGTAGAAAGATGTGATATATCCATAGTTTAGATAATATGTTTTACTTTTTCTCTTGCCCTTCATTCACTTTTCTCTCATATTGCATTTCAGCCGGCGTCTTTTTTCAGTCCAGCTGCTTATGTTTATTCCGGCACTGCATACTACGATGACTGCTTGTACTAAGCAAATATTACGCCACACACAATGTATTGGGAGGACCAATGTCTGATCTGACCAAAATTTTGTTTAAATCTCACCGCCATTGGTTTTTACAATACAATCAAGCTCTGTCAAAGGTTCCACTTTTTTCCTTGTCAGTTTAATTTCGTCGAATGTATCAGACACAGAAACATCACGAAATTACCATCAGAGCTTAAGCCCATTGAAGAGAAGCACGATTATGTAAGAGCAATTCTTGTTAAAGCGATAGCTGATGAAAGCCCCCAAGTCTGTCGCTGATTTCCCCACATTATCAGATGGCGAATCTGCACATTCCAATCTATCTGATGCTGCAGAATAAACTCACCTATGTACTGATCTGAACCACGCACCGTTAAACCATATTCGGTCTCAAGAGGTCATTAGGGCCGTAGGTTTACCAGTCTACATTTAATCATGCGTGCAGTGAAAAGTAGCTAAAAGCAATCTTCAAATTGGAATATATGGAAAATAAATTTCTGTCCTAGCTAAAAATAATTTTTCTCAGTAGTGCACTATATTTCAAACCATTCGTACAGCCCACTGATTCAAAAATCGATACAGAGGATCCAGGCTTTTGCGCATGTATCCCGGGAGGGGTTTGTTGTCGTTCAGCGGCTGTCGTTCACACGAAAGGCATGTTCGGGGGCCAACTATCCCTGCTGACCGAACATCACATCATTTAGATGGATGTGTCAAGTGCAGGACACGGACCAAACGAAGGCATGCCCTGATTGGTCAGAATGCCAGCCAATCAGGGTCGAGCATCCTTGATTGGACGCTTCTCGTCCCCTCACGGAGATTCTGGCACGACCTTGCCGAACATTCCGTGACTACCCTATAAACACAGTTGTGATAATCTCCCTTTGTCTTCATAAAGGGCGGTGTAGAGCTATCGCGCCTTTTGATAAACCGCAGTGGGCGGAGCAAGGAAGCCAAGGGACCGATTCAGAGTTGCACCACCGTTCAGCAAGTTACAACAAGGCACAAGCGAATAGGGTGCAGCGCGGAGCAGTGAGCTTTCCAGCGAAAGGGAATCGCATAGAAGCATCAAATGATGCTTTGAAATGGGTTCTAGATGGAGCGTGGACAGCCAGTGGAGGAAGGTTATACCACACAGCACATAACCGAAATGAGGATAGACTTTCCTAAGAAAAGCGTGTGCTCTGAGCTTGACAATCTACCCACCATGTCCCCGCTGTTTACTGGGTCAACGGTGAAAAAACTGTTGGCCAAATCTTGCTGAAACAGGGCGTAAGAACTAGGCCTCCTAGGAGGCGACGACACTCCAGGGAGAGGTTGAGTACCACGAGACGCGTGTCATGGCCCAGGGATTTAAGTATAATTCCGTTTATTCTACTCTAGTGGGAGGTATACCATCAAGCATGTTCATAACGTTACAGTCGGAATAAAGACATGACTGGCGGGGTTTATGGGTACAGGGGATTACGCGGAAAAAGGGCTGTCATAAATAGTTGACACTATCCGGTCTAGACGCTAGAATTTGAAGGTTGCGAGCAAAGTAAAACGAGCGAAGGCAAAAAAAGAGACATCGTGCCTGAAGCATGACGAGAAAACTGCAAATTTCAAACAGTGAAGGTCGCAAGATCATTGCGACAGAGAAGCCCGATCACCATGACAAAGTGACAGCTTTAGGTGGGGGCGGGTGTATTCGTTGGTAGTTGATCTGTTAACCGGGCTTGACAACTGACCTGCAAACGTTTGGTCACTATTCGAGGAGACATCATTGGCCACCCACTGATAATGTACAGTAAAATAAATGAATTCTAAGGGAGCAATACCAAGCACGACCTGTGGGAAGGTGAGATGTTTTGAACAAAAGAACGTCGAGGGCACGCGTTTTAGTTACTCCAACAAATTCAAATTCAGGAAACTAAGATGCTAGAAACCATAGTTGTACCCATCTCCAGATTTCAAACGAACAAAATAATCACAGCAGCCGGCCCAAGGCTACATACAATGACTTCGGGGAATTCGGCGTAAAAAAGAGCGCTCCTTTTAGCGACCATATTTGACTTCAGTGAACTAAATCCGGTGTTATAATGGACTGGCTGATTTGAAGGACAATTTTTCGGTCCTTCTGGTATTCCTTCCAGGAAGTACTTATGTCCAATCTTAACGAAAGTAATCGCAAGAGCTGAAAGCTCTAGCGCTATTGGAGGTCTCTCACAAAGCTCGGAGATCAACACTACTCGTGGCTCAATGAAACAGATCTGTCAAAAAGCCAGTTGGCAGAACAGAGAGGACTATCATGCCAAACAACGAAAACCCACATAGACCGCACCGTGAGACCAACAGGAACGAGAATCAAACGTTCCTGACAGATGTAAACCGATGAAAGCGGACTAAAATGTAAGACAGTAGATCAAGTATTCCAAAGTCTTTGGGTCCCGAATGCAACTATCTTCATACTACGTTGAGTGCGATGGTAATTTCTGCAATTTGATTGTCAGTCCAGACTGACGAAAAGCGAAAAAAGTCCTCAACTTCAATGTGAGAAACTTTTGGTTATGGAAGAAAAACTGCAGCAAAATGAAATCATTAGTATGAAAAAGGGGTTGAAACTACGGACAAGTTACAATACAATTTACACGAGCCGTTCGACACCATCGTTGGGGCTTGAGAAATGAGATACGATATGTTGGTGAAACAAATTAAAGAGCATGAAAGTCATGGCGCATTTCACTCGTGCAAGCTTGGTAATGATCCAGCAGACGGTGGTCGATTTGCCACGGGGACCTCAGGTTTCGCCAATGGCGCTGCTTCGGACAGTCGTGATATAGCCTGTAGGAGTAATTCCTGGAAAACAGAGAACAGTCTTCATCGGAGACATTCAAAAAAGCGGTTAACGAGTAGTATGCGTTGTTCGTAGAATTTCGCTTTGCGTCTATTGAAAAAGGGAGATCTGTTGCGAAATTTGTGGAGCCACTTTGTAACCAATAGCATCGCAAATTAACCTAGATTCCGGAAAAATGAAAGCACTGTCAACGGCTGTACATCACAGACCATGTATGGAAACGCGATTGACTACTCAATGACTTGGATGAATATGACAACCGGTTGTCCGCCACAATCTGAAGTCAATTGCAGGAAACTGCGCCTGCGACAGTCCAGTAACTCGGGCACGCAGTCCGATGGAATCTATCGGTACCCAGAGTGGCAAGTAGAAGGGAATGAAGACATCTAATCGGCGCATTACACTGAGAGGGCACTGGATGAGCTCGCTCATTTAGAAATTACTCGCACACTTGGAAATTAAAGAACAAGTGTTATTGTCTCCGAATGATTCATCTGCTGGAAACAGATAAGGGTTCTATCTGCCGCACGTGGGTTTGTCTCCGAAACGGCATTGTCTGAGGTTGCGATGAATGCAAAGAATGCAGGCACATGGGATTGAACCACACTGAAAACCCAACAGTAACAAACAGGATGAAATCCCCGAAAGCCTTATCAAACTCGAGCCCTTCATTGCAAGCCTTCAAATGGGGCAACAAAACTGCCAAATGACCAAAGTGTAGACAATTGTCTAAACTTAATTGCAAATTGATCTGAGTTATTTTAAACGAAAATTACCCGCCAACAATGCGGCTCCATTTACTTACAAGCCGTGCGTGGCCAGTGTAAAGTTTCGGACGTGACCGTTTTGTCTTCAAACAGCCTCAACATAAACAACTCAGTTATCTTAACTAAAAGACAGTCTTTGTAGCTCAGGTCATGAAATTGACGTTTGAGTTGCTCGCTAAGGATGGCACTTTCGTCACCAATGGAGATGATATCAGTGAATAGTACGACGCACCGATACATCGCTACGCACTGAAGATGTCGCATTCTATTGGATTTTTTTACCAACGATTGAGCTTAACTGGCTTGCTAAAAATATGAAAACTGGTAGGAACACAAGCATTGTAAGCATGTGTCAAGAAAAATAAACTGACAGACACTGACATCATTAAATACTGGGAGGATGATATGCTCTCAGAAATTCGTGTAACGCGACCCACCAAAACAGTTTCTACGTGCTCCTATAGCGATGAAGCTGCGGAACTAAGTCAGGGTTACAACTTTCAATATAAACTGCAAACATCAGGGAAAATAGCCGCTCCAGTCACCCAGATGTAGATTAGTCATTTGATGGGTGGTTTTAATTAGTGCTGATTATAGAAAGGTAATGTGGAGTACTGTCTAAGCCGAAAGTTTTAGCAGGCCGGTCGATCGGCCAACACCACCATGACAGTTGCTGATGTCGAGTTAATATATTCCTGAAACTGCGTTCAGTCGTGTACCGATAGTCAAGGCATATTCGGGGTGTGTTGGTGCGTTGCTCGAACGTCAAATGTTTAAGGTTCGAACTCTGGCATGGTCAAGGATATGGATCACTGAGTTTTAATATGACCCAGCTTGAATCCACTGCTCCCTCGAAGTAACCGCCTCAGAACACTGTTCAGACGACAGTGATGTGAATAAGAGTCCTACAAACGTCTCCAACGACTCGTATGCAAACATAATGACCACCATTATTAGGTCAGACAGACGACACCTGCAAAACTTTTTGTAAGGTAGACATAACAATAGCTCAACCAACTGGTAACTATACCACGTACGCAAAAGAAGCCAGATGCCTTATCCATATCATCGTCCATGCGGGCTGATTCAAAGTATATTAGGCTAGTGACGCAGTAGGTACTCCATTAGAGGACTGTATCAAACATCACAAACAGTCGTTGGTTTAGTAACGTGAAGGATATGCCGCCAGTAGCATTGTTATCCAAATCAATTTAGTGGGAAAATACCGAGATGTGTAAAAATGTAGGGACTTGACAGATATGTCAAAGTTATACAAATTTCCGTGTGATTAGGTACATGCCCATCCATGGAGAAAACTTAGAGGGCTGGCAGATTTTCAACAAAAACAAAAAAAGCAGCACAGATATCAGGCGGAGTATCACTATGGAGGGAAAAAGTTGGAACCACGGAGCAACACATGTTTCTTGGAAACAAAACAATTACGATTTACGGGTTTACCTTTTCAGCACTGTCTTCACTATCTGCAATGGAATCGATTCGCTCTAGATGTGCAGCCAGCAAACGTTCTGCGACCTTAAAAACCAAAACGAACACGCGATCGTGATAGAATAAATCTCAATATTCACGAGTGGAATAACAGTGTGGCTGTGTTGACGCGACCACGAAACTGTTAGTTGAACGATAGGATTACAAGAAGGCGTATTTACTATCCTCTGGGAATTAAGCGGTCAGCTGCTTCAAGATGATACATACGAAAGTGGACTGCTTCTCTAAACTCCGGATTAACTAGTGTCAAGCATACCGCTATTCTAAAACCGTGTAAGGGTTTCCCTGACAGAACACTACTCATAAGGCTGCTGGAAACTCTTCGACAGACCACGACCGGTTTTGCTCATCTTGTGGTTCATTCCAAAACGGAACTAGATGCCCTGGGTGCTGCAGCATACGGAGCGAATCTAGTCAGTTTCAACAGCGAACAACACTTCGTTAGAAGTAGAAGCGGAAAGTGGATGGCTTAAGTAGATTCCGCTCGACCAATTGTACAAACAGTATCCAGGCCACTGCGCATGATCTGGCAGATAGCTATAAAGACCTATAAATTGATTACGTGAAAACTAAAAACATCCCTATAGATATGCCAATAGTAAAACAGAGTAAACCAACACTAATTAGGGCGGGCGAACTGAAAGATGCACTAAATGCTCCAAGATAATGTACCCCAATGTTTCATACCACAAGACTAACGCGTAACATGCACAAATCTTTGAATTTTGTACTTATAGGAATGGTCCTAATCCGACAAACTACGTGATTTTTAGTAAACGGCACTCTGATCGAACAACCCATGTCCTCATGTCCTAAAGATCATGACAACAAAAACAACCATCGAACTTATGGGTCGTTTCTTCCAACAGCATAGTGGAAGATTGGGCGTGTAAACAGTCAATGGGATGCACACACCTAATAACGGGGCTAACCCACCCGACCACCCACCTGTAATGCTGTTGCCAGTGGTATCCAGAAGCACAGAGGCCAAGTTGGCTGGCACCACTAGAATAAAGTAGGCTAAACCATCGGAGACCCTCTGAACGACATCGACGAATGATAACGGAGCTAACCCATCCGACCACCCACCTGTAATGCTATTGCCAGTGATATCCAGAAGCACGGAGGCCAAGTTGGCTGGCACCAGTAGAACAAAGTAAGCTAAACCCTCGGAGACCCTCTGAACGACATCGACGAATACCGGTGTAACGGTGATCCTACTGATGGGGAGACACGCAAGTAGTATGCATTGTTTGTAGAATTTCGCTTTGCGTCTATTGAAAAAGGGAGATCTGTTGCGGAATTTGTGGAGCCACTTTGTAACATTTGCTTGAATTTGACCGACGAATGAGTGGAGTCAATGAATCTCCAGGAAAATTCAAGAAGACTCGTTCGGGAGAAGATCGGTGTCCAGTGTTTGTAACTAAGATGAAAATTAGAGTTTTGCTTCCCTGTTCAATGGTCTGTAACCGGTCAGTTGGCATTGCCTAATAAATAACTCCGCAGCGAAGGCCTTCTTCCTTTCACCGGCAGCTACCTGCTCCTTATCTCACAAACCATGAGTCAGCGAAATGATTATCACGACGGTATCCTAATGCTTTCGCAAAAAACCCACCTCCGACTTCACCATATTAAGCTACCCTACCAGCTCGGTAAACCAGATTGCCGAGGGAGACTTGACGTCCATTTTCAAAAATTACATAGCCATACAGCATGAGCACAAGAATGACATTGCTTCCGCGGTTTTTTAGCCTTATTGTACACACTACTAAGATAGTCGTTTGGGAATTTTTAAGCATGTATCCTTTCATACCTGCATCGAAATACCACTGAAATAGACTTCTGACAAGGTAGGAGACCTTCACATATGTTGCCATATGCCTTTACGGAATGCAGATTCCACGATGCACTGTGCGTAGTTAGGTGGGTTGAACGAAAAATGATCTGGTACATATCGACGGTAGCAGATACAAGGAGCCGCGCTGGGCTTTATAATCTGCAAGGAAGGCAACTAGCACTTTGTTGGGAGTAACGTGGATTCTGGCTGTATCATAGAAGTATAGAGTTGCTTGCTATCAATCCTCGGCTATTGTGGCTAACAGGACTCCAGCTAACCCAGCTGTGCCTCAATAGCGAACCCCTAAAAATATGTTGAACGTGAGAAATGCTAAATCTGGTTAGCGTGGGAAATAATAAGATTGTCCATAATCGAAAACTGCTTGTTACTAATATCTGACAACTTACCAGTTGACTATAATCCGATTCGAAAGCAAGACATACTTGACCGCTTGAACTCGCAAAAGTGGGTGTTTCTGAAAGAGGACCGTCGAACAGAAGACAAGCCAACCTGAAATATCAAACAGATAGAAGAGAGGACGATAGGAAAAAGCAAGAAATGTAGACAATTCCACCTCCAGACGATGATGCAAATAAAAAATGCTATGATGGTTCCCGAGGTTATACCGCAGTTAAGCTTAAACTCGGAACACGACTTTCCTGTAAGAAAACAAACCCACCCGGGAACCTGGATACTCGGTTGAGATTTCATAACTTTTTACACATGCATTTTCGATGTTCGACCTCCGAATTCGATCATAATTGCTTAAATACTTTAGAAACTGTGAGAAATTTGACACATCCATAGTTGGAAAACTGGATGTTCAACCATGCATAGTGGTTCAGTGAGCAAGGAGACAGTTAGCAACTGTTTAGCTCAGTGTGTTGTTGAGTGATTGCACTAACTCACTAAAAACTACGAGGCTGAACGACGAAATTCGTTCCTAATTCCTGGTTGTGGTTTTTCACATGGATTGTAGTACCCCTAGTACTGCGGGTTCAGTCGAGGCTTCAGATGACGGACATGGTGACTAATTGATATTCTAGCCACGAGCTGCACACCTTGTACGCCTCAATCATCGTCAGACGTATTTCCCTTGTTACTTAGCCCTCTGACATAACGATCTATACCATCTCCATCAGTCAGTTCAAATCAAGTTCATTTGACCGCTTACAGATAGGTGTTGGCCTTCCAGTCCTGTTTGCCGGTTATACAGGGCATAAAGCAGATGCAATGATTGACAATGCAGTTTCCATTAGCTGTTAACAGAAAGACTAGACGAAAAACAGCGAAGCGTTAGCTGAATCGGTTGACCGTAGATGGTGCTGGTGGTGCAGTGCCAAGGTCGTGGTGATTCCCTGCGTTTTTTTTTAAAATACTGGAGACCGGTACAGCCATAAACTGAAGGTGACAGTTCGTGGTGATTCCTGCGTTTTTTTAAATAATGGAGACCGGTACAGCCATAAACTGAAGGTGACAGTTCTGACTGTGTGACGGGACTTGTGTTGTTTTCCACCAAGGGATTCGCTTACACGAGGGTCAAATCTACGGAAATAGTGAATAGGAAGACAAGTCCACTAATCAGAACCCCCATGCTTCGTTGGCAAGACAACGAAAAGATACATGGGAAGTAAATAGTCTCCTGGTATGGTGCGTGAAATCGATCCTGGAATATTTGACTTTTTTCTAGTCTCACTTCAGATTTGTAAGGAAGTGAGCTCTTAACGGCAATCCAAGTGAAAAAGGTAATAAACTGTAATAAACAGTGTACAATGTGCGTGCAGGGCAAAAGGTCTGAACAGAGCCAAGCCAAACAGGCGGGTGCCACTTTAAAAAACCGCTAGTACTTCCATTCCTCACAACCGAGACAACTTCCAGGAAGGCCCTCATTCAGACAACGTAAACTTCAACAAAATGGCATTTTTGCAATATGACACATGACGAACACCACACATTACCATAATGCACAGAACAGTACCAATGTGACGGTGATACTACTGATGGGGGAGCATGTGAGTAGTATGTTTTCCCCGTAAAATCCCTTTGCGTCTCTCGAATAGTGAGACTTATTACGGAACTTGTGGGGTCACATTTGTTTGGACCTGAGCAACAGTTAATGAATATCCAGGGAAGTCCAGGAAGACGCGTTCAAGGAGAAGATGGATATTCAGTTTTTGCAAACAAGATGCACGTGACAGTTTTGCTTCCCTGTCCAATAAGTCTGTAACCGTTCAGTTGGCATTTTCTAATAAATAACTCCGCAGCGAAGGACTTCTTCCTTTAACCAACAGTACCAAGAGTGTGTCGTGACCTGCTAACATTGCTCTTACTACTTTCAGTCGTGGGTGTGAAATATTTGAAGGCATATGGCAAAATGAAAAAAAAACACTAAAAAATGGACAACTATTGGGCGTAACTAGCACTGCGGTGACAACGTTTGAATCGAATCTTTTGAGCAAATGATCTTTACTGATATGGATTCTAATGAACGCCAGTAACTTAGAATTTCAGCTACCCAGTGAATCATGAAAGCAATTATCGGGATCTATGCAATGGCCGGTTCCAAGACGTCCAGCGACCAACGACTCGGGGATTCGGTTCGACCTCTGGCTGCTATGACAGGGTTGCGGCGCAAACCAAATCAGCTACTGGACAAAATTACCAGTAGCGTTAAGTTTCGGATTATGAGCTGGTTTGTTAGATAATCGAATACTGCTAGTCTTGTTTGCAACCGGAAGGCAAACTGAATGTGCGCATTTCTTCACAGTAGGGGGGAGTCACTGAGATGATTCAAATCGCCCCCTTTCTACTACAGCCAACCAGTACCGGTAGTAATCATTGCGACATGCAGGTTCACGATCTGACTTCGGGAAACTAACTGTAGGAAGTCGGAACAGCCCAAATAAGATGGAAAATAGTCGGAAGTGGTCGTTTCAGAAGGGTGTGGTAAAAATTGGTGTATTTATTGCTGAGCAAAGTTGCGCATTTGACATAAAGGCTTTGTTATACAGAGCGAGTTAGCCACCAGCTTCTTGTCAGACAGAGGAATAGCAAGCAAGCAGATCAAATCAGCGCCGCACGTTGGTTAAAGTTTTCGTTGGTTGCTGTGGCTGATTAAAACTAAGATAGATGGCTTCGGAGTTCTGTTCTTCTAGCTTAAGGCACTTCATCCGCATATCGTTTTTCTTTACAACGGTCAGGTTAAGGGTTGAGGGAATGGACTGGATTTTTGCTGGCTTGAGATTTCTAGTTCAGACCCGAGCTAACTGCTTGGAAGACTTCTTTTCACTGATCACAACATACTCCCAGATCCCAATTCGGTTGATCTAGAACCAGAGCCCATACGCTTACCAGTTCGGCACCCTTTATTCTACAAGCACTGGAAAGCACTCAGTTAATCTTATGGCGCTTACCAACCGATATAGAACAATAAAATTTGTGAACGACATCCAAATGAAATCCCTCCAAGCCCCGAACCCCTCGACTATAAGGTTTAATCACCCACAGTAACTAACACATCAGAGAGTTCTCACAGTTCTTATGAACACAAAGACTGCAGAGCGTTCTTTTATATGATTTAGTCACGGTCTGTGACATTATATCCAGGTTCTCTTGACTTTATCGATGAACGGATGATCATACCACGCAACATGTGTTCACCCACACACGCGGAACATGCCCATTACGATCAGCTGGGCAATGCAAACATCAATTCCCTGGATAAGCAAACCACACTATATCTGAATCTGATAGAAGGACAGTCTGTGTTGGTCCAAATTGCAATACAGGTCTCATTATATCAGTGCCCATTTAATCGTGTCAACTACGCCTTAAAAACTTTGAGTAAAGGTCCAGTCGTCCATTAATGGCAGCGGTCAACTGACTTGCGACAGCTCGCTATCCAGCTCAACAGCGCTCGATTGCACAACCCGATTAAAAGTAATATATATATTCATCAGTACTGCACTAACCAATATGCTTCCGATGGAAGACGAACTCACGCACATTTGGGCATAGTAAAAAGAGAAAAGCGCACTCCACGAGGAATAAAATAACCCAAATAAAGCTAGCAATTAACGGCCGATCGGTTCATCTACCACAGAAGACCGTGTACTTGATTTAAACAGCTTCGTTTACATTGGACTGTTGCTAAAGCTGACACAGCAGGAGGTCGATAACCTTCATTCGAAACCTTCTCACCAAAATAACCGTAAGGCATTCGCATGAAAACTATGGGTATGCGCGTAAAGTTGGTATAACAAATTCATCCGAAAGTAACAGCTAGAAAGTTCGACACAGAACAGATGAGCTTTTATGTGGTCTACGAAGTGTGGCGGAAGAAGTGTTCGGGGACTTGTGTAGCATTAGCTACATGTTGGCCAGTAATAACAATTGCCATGTGCACCATCTGAGTTAATGTCATATTCTAGGGGCGAGCTTCGACTGATCACCGCTCTAAAAAGGGCGAGATTCTGAGACAACACAAATATTGCCATTTCCAAAATATTTCAACAGCATACCTCGCATTACCCGTACAAATGAGCCACGCGCGAAAATTGGTGAATGGAATTCTAGCCAGCACATTTGTTCGTTTCCGGTCACCCACAGGGCACTTAGGATCTTCCGCGCAAGTCAGTAGCCAAATATCTCGTCTAGTGATAAGCAGGCGGCACGCAGAAGGGTGGGGGAGACCTGATGCCGACCGACAGGAGAGGATGTAGCTGAGGACATCATTGAAATGGGGTGAATCTGAAGATTCTGCAAAGGATTTGTGGATATGATAAGGACTAAACTATGAAATGTCATCAATAAAAACGCAAAAATGGCATGAGTTGTCCAGAGGGATGTGCAACACTTCAGATTCACATCGAGTCATCTTTAGGTTACTATAGGTACATTTGGAATAAATCTATCGAGACAGCTAGCGAAAAATACTTCATATGATAAAATGTAGGCTTCTTGGAAACAGAAAAACGACCGACACATGGAGTACTAGGAATCATTCCATAAAATCCATTCATGGCGCGTCGGTAGTAACCATTGGTGTGACTCGTAATGTAGAGTTAACTTAGCTCTGGCGCTAGTTCTGTCAGGGTGTGGATTTTTGGTTGAGAACCGGATTTTCTCCAAAATGCAAAACCGGCCAAATGATGAACCACATGACGAGTGCTACACGGGCACGAAGGGGTTTTACGTGGTACGGGGAGAATGTGGGCTCCTCGTCAGTACTCAGTACCATGCAGTGTGACGGTCACCGATAATCAGAAACCCTGGTGCCATGCGTGTCGCACTCGGGTGTGCAAGGGCTAAAAGAGCAAACTCCGACAAACACCAGATCTGACAGAGTGGGCTAGGCCTCCGCCAAACCTCCCCTATTTACCCTCAAGACGAATGCACGCTGCCAGAATGTCGTGATCTGCTTGATCTATGAAACCGGAGTCTGGTTGTGCGATGCCCCTTTAACTGCCAAGTTGACACGAAGTGCCGTCCTGAGAGACGGACACCAGACATCACATCCTTGAAAATTTTGGTCTTGGACAACACAATGAAAATGATGACCGCCTTTGTCGAATTATGATACCTAACACTTATGCCTACAGTAACGGTGACATTGATTTCCAAATGGACTACATCTTGGTGCTAGATCAGAAGGCATCGTTTAAAAACTGTATGTCGTACTGTGAAGCAGAAAATGGAAACAAATGCAGTTCAAATCGTACCCTTGTACGTGAATGCTCAATCTTCACCTTTCCGCTCGGCACACAATAAGCTCTGTGGAACGGATCAACGTGATTTAAATCCTGACGGGACCCCTGGAAGGACCACCCAAGCAGTTCCAGAATTTGAAAATGTGATCAATGCATCAACTTGCAGCACAGAACCCAGCTTAGTTTTCACGGATCTGTCTCTCCCCGTGTTCAGTCAGACCAGAGAGGACTCTCAATGCCACAGCAACCAGGTTGATCCCACAGTGATTTCCACAGCGCCTGCGTACCGCTTTATCTGTCGACATGTCCCACTCTACAGGCACATTTTCCTCGCTCCACATCACACCAATAAGCTTTGTTAGGTGGGTCACCAGGGATTCTCCGCCTTCTTTGAAGAGAGCTGGATACAGACCCATCGGTCCTAGTGCTTTCTAAAATTTCAGTATGGATACTTCGTACTTCATTTCTCCTTCCGATGGGCTATTAAATAGTCCATTCCATTCACTCGTGTGCAGTCTCCAGAGACTGTGTTGTAGCAGCCCAACTAAAGTGCTCTTCGAAGTGTTCGGTGAATCTTTCCAGTCGACGTTTTTTTCAAGTGAATGAATGAGCCGCCACTCTTACTCAACGTTTCAGTGACCGTTGCTTTCCTAGGGGCCGGTCAATCATATTTTCCCGTAGCAAAAGCCTGCTCCATCTTTTGGGCTTACAATAGTTATCAGAGCTCTCGGTCTTTCCTTAGGCTCTTCACTATTTGGAGTTTGAGGGAGTTGCGTGCGCCGTCGTACTCGTTGCCTGCTCGCATGAATTTCCTGGCATCAATAATGACTATTGAACTCGACGGTATCCAGTGGTCATTTGGTCGTACCGGAGAAGTCAAACAGACAGCACTGAACACCGCTAGCACAGATCCTTTCACATTTTCCCATGCTCACTACCAGTACAGCATTGGTCTACTGCAGAGGATTGTTGAGCTATGGTAGTTCTTCGAAGATGGTGGACTGGCATGCTTCTTGATGAACCGCGACGCCCTGAAGGGGAATGAACTGAGAGGCATGCACGCACCATGGCGTGATCGGAATCAAGTGGTGTGGTAGTCTTGAACTGTAGCTCTCTGGTTGATGGCCACGGTTGATTTGCATTTGGTAGCCGCCAGGTTACGCGGTGCGAACGTTTATGTTAAAGTTCGCACTTGCCATAAACACACACAATAAACACACACCATAAACGCACACAACTGAAGGAGTCGATCTCCGTTGTCTGTGCGGCAATTATCGACTCCGAATCAACCGCCCAAATATGATTCCAAGGAGCTCACACAACCTACTTGAGCATTCAAATCACCCGCAATGATCACAACGTCGGTGCTTGTTGCTTGGCGAATGAGCCTGGGGAACTCTCGATAGAAGGTATCCTTCTCAGCACCAGAAATGCAGTCCCATGGGGCATACGCAGACACTGAAAACAGGCCCCATTTTTATGTCAACGCATTGAGCTTGATTGAGCTCGATTACCAGACGGCGCAAAGACGACTTTTCACTGGGATCCGATCCACTAAAGCGCGTACAGTTCAAAGAATTGAGTGCAGCTCTCACACCATATATTGCACGAGTCACTGCTTCTGGATCACCGGAGCTGGATTTGTGCTTGGCGTTCTGGAATGCATAACCATGCTTGTGTGTTTCGGATACAGTGTACATCAATTCTAATAGAATGTAAGGTTTTAGTGCCTGTTTGCCAATTCGACATGGTATACGGACGTTAAATGCTCCTAAGTATAAAAGATCTCGTGGATTTAGCAAGGCGATATTTCATTGTTAATAGGCAGTGGGGTGCATAAGACTCTTGGGTCAGATAACTGAAAACCAAATGACCCAGCAACATGGTGGGAAGGGGTTGGGGAGGGATATCTGTGGATAACGAAGTGTGTAGGCAAATGATGCTTCCCGATTACGCAGACCGAGGATGGGGTTTGAGTTGACGTACCACACCTTGAGACTTTGACTCAAAAGTTCGACCCACAAAGCAGTGGGAGGGTGTACGGTTTGGTTGGGAGATTCTGTCCTAGCATATGGCTCGAAAAGTCTGACCCGCGAGGCAGCGGGCAGTAGGGTTTTCTTTGAAGACCCTCCCCGGGGCATACGACTCAACAGGCTGACCTGCTCGGCTGCAGGGGGGTGGCCTAATCCGAGGGCGCAGGGAATAAGGCTTTACTGTCTCATTCCTGATGCGGCTGCGAACACCAGGTGCCTTTTGAGCAGTACCGGGCTCTTTGGTTTTAAAAGTATTTCGACCGTATTGGATAATGCGCCGGCGGTCACATTCAACCGCTCGGTGATCGGAATATGCGGATTTTGGGGCCGACCTTTTCTAACCCGTCCTTCCTTGGAGGAAGGCAGCATCGCTGCTTCCATAATTACGGACATGCTGGTCGCCTGGGGGAAACACCTTACTGCCTTCACACTCCTGTCGCAGAGGACAGTACGACTTTACCCCCAGACCGCCCCGTACCACGATTGCTCGTAGTGCGGGGTCTCGCTGCCACCCTTTAGCCTTCCTGGCGTAGCTACACCTTGTGGAACGACGTTCCAGCCAGTGTATCCCGCGGGATCATTGGAGCACTCAAGCCCGACCACCACGTCAAGGTGGCAGCTTTAGGCCGGGATCGCTTGTTTTAGGTGATTGCATTGGCTCTACTCACGATCTTCCCTCCTCGTGGGTTTCACAATCGGTATAACTGCTCTCATCTCTTTCTATGTTGCAGAATCGCAGACACAGTCGAGGATGTTGCTCGGGTAAGACCTCCTCGTTACCTACAAATGGATGGCATTATCCGGCCGTATGAACGGAGACAGGCGGAAGGCCATTTAATTCTGCAGGTAAATACACACTTCTGTCGATTGGGTTCGATTTTTCCTTGGTCGTTTTTTTCCTTTATGCTTCTGCTGACGCACCGGTTGTTTTCGTTTCAGAGGGTGAACAAGGACAACAACTACGGGCATTATGTGTTTCACATCAGTGCTTCAAAGGGAAACAACTTTTTGCTCCTGACCACAACGTGAGTCTACTCAGCTATCCATTTTGTTCACCTTTGCTTGCAACATGCTTGTGTGACTTACAAACACAGACGCATGCACTCGGGTTTCTGGGCTATCATGATACTTTAATGATTCATTGGCTTTCAGATATCCTTTGTTACTAAGTATCGGTGTGCGAAAACAGTCATCTGGATGGACAGGTTCTGCCGCACAATATTCGGAGAAGCACCTTATTGCCTTCCCACTCCCATCCTAGGACAGTACACTTTACCTCCAGATCCCCTCGTTGTGCGATTACTCGGAGTACGAGGTATATAGCCCGCTATATATAGCCCGCACTATGGCCCGACCACCACGTCAAGGTAGAAGCTTTTATCGGAGTGCTTCAGAACATCGGTACAAGTTGCAGTAAATAAAAACACCGCTTCCTCACTGACCTTAATGCAGCAGTTGACACCATCAGCGGGCGCTTTTCATGTCTGTCCTGAAAGATGGTGGCAGGGAGCTTCTACCAAACCTCATATTCGAGGATACGAAGGGAAGACTACAGCTTTTGCTTTAAATTCCGCTGTTCTGCAGGGTTGCCTAGTTTCGTCGAACTTTTCAGTGTTCCGATTGATTGGACATTATCTCATGTCCTCAGCGACTTTTGTGGCGTACATATAAGCCGTCCTATAAGGATAATCGGTCTTCATTATGCTGATGACATCATTGCCCTGAGCACAGAAATGCAGCCTATCCCTGATCTCATCGGTCACAAGCAAGTCCTTCACAGCTGTGGGTGTCCAGTTGAGTCTCATTAGTGTTAGTGGATAGCCCATAAACCAAGTCGATTTCGAATACATTATCTCTGAAAATGGTCACGTACGACGAGAAAACAGAAGTCACGATCGAAAACGCCAGTAAGCTCTTCATATAGTTTCAGGAATCGGTCTTCCAGCAAAGTTACACACGTAAACCGTGACCGTCTGATTCCTATCCCAATACGTCTGTGAGAAATGTCCTCTCTTCACGAACTCGCCAATCAGTGCTTATGGCGAGTATATTGGACCGACAAGGAACTCAGCGGTAGTGTAAAGGTCACCGTTATACTATTTTACGACTCACCTAATTGTTTCAATGATGTAGACCACATTAGTTGGAACATTTGATCCACAAACCAGGCTTCCTGTTGTCTGAACTCTTCCAGCTACCAATGTCTTACTCAGAATGACGCCATAGCACATGAGCATAATTAAAACTTGTTAGTTGGTCAGATGGTCATTAAGTTCACCGATCTTGGCAACTAGCTTGCAAACGTTTCTTCCCCAGTCGAGGAGACATCGTCAGTGCGCAGTTGAGTGGTTGCCTCCTCTGTGTCTGGCTGCATTTATATAGTTTTTGAAGAGTACCTAATATCTTCTCATGTGATTGGCCACTTGGTATATACCTCTCCTGTAATATCACTGGCCCGATTGTGATTTGCGCTGCATTGTGGTCCGCACGTTTGCTATTCCGTTGATTGGTTGGATGGCTATCAACAGTGAAGATCGACTCTGAACTACTTTGTCTGCAGATGGTCAATGCGGCCAAACAGTAGAACACAACAATGACTTTGTGTTCGGACCTAGCTACCAACCGTGTTTCAAGGGTAGCATCGATCTGGGATATTCTTAGAGCCGGTTCCCCCTTCTGCAGGCGGTTATCGTGAAGTAATTTATAAGTATTACTAGGCACCAAATACAGTGGAGATAAGACAGATTATTTTACACACTACGATGGCAAATAAGTAGACTCACGAAAGTTTCGAGGTAGCTGAACGGAACCAAGAAACCCCAATTCCAATGGTTCTGGAATATCTTCGGCATCCACAACAAGCTCATCTGGTTTCGAACTACTTGCGGACGGTTGGTTTGAAACATCGGATGGATCAGAAACGGTGGCCGAGTCGGCTCCTGATACTGGTGCTGCACGGTGAATCTGTATGAGTTCAGCGTCACGAATCGAGTTCAACTGGTTGACCGCAGGTAGGTCAAAAGAGACAGGGGGCATGCCATTCACAGACCAGTCTGATTGGTTTACAGCCGATGTCATTCTTGGGGTCTGTTAGGAAGGCAATGAAATGATGTTTGTGACCAACGAATGGGTACCCAGTGGTCGACAACAGAACGAATTCTGTGAGACAAGTCCTTCGGCTTCAACTAAGAGGGTGAAGTACTAAGATTCTTCGAGAGGCAGGTTGAAAATTGATCGATGGGCCATTAGCTGAGCGTGGAGCAAACGCTTCACCACCAGAGAAGACATGGTGTGTTGGCAATGTGTCGACAACTCAGGGCCCGGAGGCATACACCGAGCTCAATGAGCAGATCAACAACCACCTGATCGACAAACAATAATTGATGTGTCGTTGGGTAACTGAGATATGAAAGACATCAACGGGCGCAAGCTGACGCCGGTGCGCCAAGCAAAAAGGTGCAAATGATACCGCTTCAATTGGTGACAAAAAACGTTCGCTATCAGATTGCTCGAATCTACGAACGAAATGACAGCCATCTAAGTAAACAGACCTACAGATAACTGCGACGGAGGCAGATTAGAGACTGGTCTGGCAAGAGACGAACCTATTGGAAAACAGTTAAGCGCATTTCGATAAAACTCACCTAAAGGATAGCAAGAAGTTAAATAAATCCGAATCAGCCAGGTAGTAGCTCGAAAAAACGGCCCAATAGTGTAATATATATTACGCTTAATAATCTGTTCACGGTGGAGAGTGCTGAACAAACTGCCTGATGGAGAAAAGTTTTCAAACTTGACGAAAAAACCAAGATCAACCACGATAAAGTGCACACAACGGTTATTTTATGAATTCAGAGAGTGATTTCGGTAGTTTCATTCACGGTCCGCTACACGACCTCAGAGTTTAGCGCTTGATTCATTACCGTGCCGAATGTCAAAAACTAACTGAATGACAGAATTCTATCAGGCTTAAACTATATGGAAATTGAAAAGTGTCCTTCAAACTGCTAACAAAGCTGAGCCTTGGATACGGGAGACATGAAGGAAACTACAGAAAGGGGATTCACTCTAGATGTACCTTTTTAACCAAAAATGAGGCCTCTTCGTTCCTGCTTAAAAGCCCAGGTGATTACCTTGCATTTTATGAACTTCCTAAAATCGACACTTTCTGTCATCAACAATAAAGGTAGAAAGTACAGTCAGGAAAAAAACGTGAACTAGAAAATCTAAGGAACCCATTCCGAGGACTCACCTCGGGAGATGTAGCTTTTGATTCTGATCGCGATGGAGCATCCCATGTTCCTAGGTTGTTCACATCATAGATTATGTTCGTCAACGTAGCTATCCACTGTGAGAAGATGTGGGGAAATAAGTTTCCACAAAGAATGAGTGAGCAAAAGAAACGCAGGTTAATTGTCTAGTACAATACTTGTAAAATATTAAGATGCTTTCTCATCCACCGAATACATGCACGCGAGAAATAGCAGCGCAACATAATTTCGACGCGCGACAAACAGAGTTGGCAAATAAGGGTGAGGTGAAGAAAGACTTATAGTGACTCCGCTATGACAAGAAATACCGGGAAGTAGATGACCATGGAAATTACTTCACAGGAAGGGCGTTAGCGGATCCTGTAAAATGTATCTAAGTGCAATGCACTAGGAAACCGCGCACAAACGGTTGCTTCGAAGCAGGTACGTAATCCGAGGTTTATATTCATCTTTCGGTCAGAGAACTATCGTATTAGGTTGAATTCGGATGCGTCATTACAAAAATACCACCTCATGTGGATTCTTATTAATCGTCTAACCTATGCAAAATGTATGACATGCAGTGTAGGTGAAACAAAAGGTGGTAAATAAACGTTGCGTGCTCAAAAAAGCGGCTGTGAGGTGACGAAAAACTGTGATGCCAAGGGAACGAATGTAGATGCTTTCCGGTTCACGGCCAACCTCGGCAATAAACAGCGTACTCCAGTTATCCGTAGATGGGCTGAGTCGGGCATGCCCGATTAGATGAATCATACAAACATGACTTAATCTACCGTGCTATCCTGCTACAGTCCATCGTGTACCAACTGACCTGTGGGGTCGATTCCAGTGCAGTTAACTAACCTGTTGTAACCAAGGGTCACATTTCAAGAATGTCCGGGAAGAGGTTAACACAGCGTGCTAAGGAGAGTGGTTCTATCTACCGAAACGGAACGACGGATAGAATGTGGTTCACGTTAAATGGTTGTCACAAATTCGTAGTAACAAAAGGCAACATCCGTACTTGCTTATACACTTGCTGGGAAGGAAGTTGAGGCGCACAAGTAAACAGTGAACATCCCATCAGTGCCCATCAAGAAATGAAGGATCATGGTATAAGGGACATGATTAATGAAGTACAGTAAAAAAAAAGCATACAATAGCTCCAGTTCGGGACAACTAAAAGAGATGGATACTTATCCATATAATAATCGTCGAAAAAACATCTAGGACGTTAACCTAGGGGTATGTCGGATGTACATGAGGTAGGCAGCTACCTAGCCACGCCAGACAATGCACACTTTTGAAATAAGTAACATGAGGTACAGACAGATGCCTCAATCGATCGCCCAATTCGGTTTACTAATTCTTAACATCGCTCTGCCCGAACGGCATGTTTTATCCCAGTCACATCACTGACAAGGAGGAAACCGAAGACTGTGAGTCGAAAGTGCGGTCCCAAAAACACCGAGCGTGATAGCCGTGTTCCTTGATTCGCTGAAAAGCAACACAAAGCCTCGGCACATGGGAACTACAATCAGATAGGCTAGAGAGCCGGGAGGGTGGGCTGCGCTGAACATGCGGTCGAACGGATTATTGGTCGGGTCAGCTATGCAAGATAGCTAGTCCGAGTTCTTATACAGAAACTCACATTGTGTTGATTTTCGGAAGATAAGGCGGGACAGCTGTCATGATTATCATTATCATCCTTGGGAAAATAACACCAGTGTTCAATACTGATAGTTTGCTGCCACACAACCACAATTTATATGAAAGCCTTATAGCGAAAAAATACGAGTGGATGGGGAATGGAATTAGTGCTAGACTACGACGATCACCCAGACACCCAGGATAGAAACTGGCAACAGAAACGCCACTGACATGGATTAGCAGTTATATCTTGCAGCGTCTCCAACCATACACACGGAAGAGTACGTGTACTCGATCTTGCAAGGCTAGTTGCACAGACGGCGCCCCAAAATTCCGTATTTTCTTTCATACCCGTCTGTCAGGCCAAAGGTTGACCACCTATCAGCTTGCGCAACTCTGCATTGGGTGCGGAAAACAGCACCGTTTCCGGCAAACAATGATCCGGCCTAACCAACACAGCTTCTGTTGCTGCGCATATTCTGCGATGGAGGTCCCTGGTGCACAACCTGCAAGTCTCTCAATAATTGCCTTGTTACGGATTCGCCGACACCAGACTACATGACCTGCGGTTCTGAGACAAGGATGGTCCAAGGCCTGAAAACGTCTCATTTCAGCTACTCGAAAAGGCCGCGACTCACAGCCATACAACAAAACGGTCCGTACTGTATGTAGCCTGAGATTCAGGGATATGCCGCTTCTTCGCCATCGGTAGCAAATGCGACCGAGCCTTACAGATTCACGCATTGGCCTCATTTGTCACACTGCAATCGGAAGTAATGCAACTTCCAAAATACGCAGAATGCTTCCCAACTTCGAATGCGTCCGCTTGGATAGTCAGTGGCGTGTCCAATGAGTGCATGTCCAGAAACACGACCTTACACTTTAGGGGTGCAAAGGGTTGGGATGAGTTTGGTCAGTTAATCAAAAAACACTTATGCCTTATTCTTTTCGAAGGTCGGAACGATGGGCTCTGAATATTCCAGATCCACAAGGTTTTCGCAAGTGGTTATTTGAACACCAGGGTTTTGAAGAACTTCTAGCGTTCCTTTCACAAACTCGTCAATTCGAAAACTGAACAAAAACGGGTGCTTGAGTGGAAGTGGCAAAACCCGCGGTACTATGTGACAATCTCGTCCCAATAGGAATCGGAGTCCGAAAGTGAAGGAGTTGGAAGACACTCAAGAAAATGATACTGATAAAAAAAACTGCCCAAATTAGATAACTGCCAGCCTCTCGGTTGTCAAGCACATATCGATATCAAGTGAATCTAGTATGAGAGCATGAGCGGTTTGCTGTCCTGCTCACTTCAGAGTGCAAAACATTAAAATCGGCCCGACAGACAAGGTGAGGCTTGAAAATCGATTTAGAAATGTCCGAGGATATCGGTGCCGGCTGATACACAGATGTTGCGCCCAAATAATGTATATCATTAGAGATGCATTCTGCTGAAAAAAACTACATTTCCTGGTTTTCTCTGAATTTCGAATAATCCACCAGAGCAAGGGCTTCCTGCTTTGGTTTGTTGTTCCCGGTTAACACTAGCCACAAAGCATTGAGCTTATTCTGAATTATTCCCACCTGACTTGTGCTCACGAGGAAACATCTGGCGACATAAGCGAAACAACCAACAGGATATGGTGAGTTTCCAAAAGGGGAAACATCCACAATACCGACTGAAACGGTCCTACTTGGGGGGGGGGGTACTTCCAAAGACCATTTGGCGTGCATTGACTGCTCCAGTGAAGCAATGGAAATCAGCGGTTATCTTTTGTTTGGCTACTCATGAGTAGTGTGACTTACACCTGCTTAACAGACGTTCTGCTTCCCTGACACTCCTGTTTTTTTGCTCCTGCTCAGGGTTTGTCTACCCTCTAGTTACTAATGCCGATATTTTGTCACATGTCCATCTTCGCCTTCAATTTCGTGTCAGCTCTACCTATTTTGGAGTGTCTACTCCGACGAAAAAAGTAGCCGCTCGGAGGTGGAAGTCAGGAACCCCTCGGATGGCAGACGAGTGCACTATCCGCTGCTCCAACCCGATTTTCCAGGCGGCCTTATTTTTGCACTACGCTTGTATTGCATCCTACCCGATAGTATTTTTTTGGATTTTGTTGTAAACGGGCTTAAGTGCGTGTTTCGATTTGACACGTAGCACGTGCTACTTCGTCACGCTGTCAGCTAAGGATTGTCCTAAAACCTAATGAACTTCGTAACCTGCTCACTTGGCTTTTGTGTCAAAAGCGAAATGTTGCCAAAGTAGAAACTGCAGATTGTTTACCAAGACCTTCTGAAATGAAGGTACATTTAATTTGTGTCAACTTCACTCGATACCCGTTTTCCGGACAGTTTCCATAAACCTTCTGAACGTAGACTGTCTTTAACTTTGTTTACGGCCTATTTACACTGTCTGACTGACCATATCCATACGTTTGTATATCATCCGGTATATACTTCTTGTTACTTCCAGAAAGCCCTGCTGCCACACAGCCCCTTTTCTTTCTCCTACGGACTGCCCGGCTACTGATTGTAGGTTCTGCTTAATTCATAATACTTGTTACCGTAGTTGTTCATAGAAGCAGTTGTCAAAACAGCATCTACTGTCCTCATTCGTCTGTTCATACTGCCTACTGAATACGAGCTGCGTATAGTCCGATAGCCCCAATCATCCTTAGCCGTCCGGATCAAACATTATGTTTACCCGTGAAAAAGGCTAAAATACTCAATTGTGTCTACAGTTGGTAACTTCATTGCTGGATTATCTTGGAACTTCTTTGGTGGTTTCTTTGTATCAAGTAGTCACACAGCTAGATTCTTCTCATACTCATCTTGTGCAAAGACTAATTCATGATTTTTCATTGGATTGATTCCCTATAAAATCATCTATGGAAAGCAATCCAACCATTCGGGAACTGTCCCATTAACCTTAAGAGCAGCCGAAAATAAATACATTTGTTCGCTCAGAGTGGGGTCGCTGTTGTGACTATTTTGTTCAGGATCACAACGAAAAAGTGACAGATAACAGAGTACATAAATCCAACAGTCAAACAATGGCTTATCAAGTAGAAGAGACAAACATTCCAACCAAATAAATGGTACACACCGAGAAGTTACTGAAAAATTGTGAACATATGAATTTGTGCTGGTCTTACCTCATCCCGCTCCTGATTACTTTCCGCTTGTAAGTAAATGGTCCTGGGAAAGAGAAAAGAAAACAGTGCATTCGAACGACGAGCTGAGATCATACGCAACAGAAAGCCAATCCTTAATCCAATAAGCTTGTGAACAACAACACTAGACCACAGTTATTGTAGCATATAACATTGTGACAGTTAAGCCCCGACATCTGACGATTTTCAAAGAGACTACTGACCGGCTTGGGCGCCAAGTCGAAATTGAACATTGAGAAGCTCTGGAAAAAATAGTGGTTCATGTAGGACGTTTCGTAGACTAAGGCCCCCCATCATGAATGATAATACAGAAGTGATTACCAAGAGAGATAAGCAAATCAATTTGGATCGTTGGGCATCAGTCATTCCCGGTAGTGAGTGCTTTGAGGTTACGATGTGAGCACAATCTGCGATCCGAATGTTTGGCATACAGAGACGGGACAGAACATAGTGCGAGGTCAATCGTACTTTTTATCCCACTTTAGTGAATTGTTGTCTTCGAGAGCTCACCAGAAGATCATCATCATCATGAACGGTGAATGTAGTCTGACACTACCGAAAAGGGCATGTACGCCTCACCGATTGTAGCACGTCTCTTTTTGCGCCACCTGGATTCATAGAAAGCGTTCAGCCGTAGCACCCCTCCGGTGCCTAGCTGCAATGCCACCCAAAGGAAGCACGAGGACTGGGATACTGCCAGGTTGCCCAAGCCTAGACAGGGGAAGTCGAGTGGCGGAGATCGGATTCGAACCACGGACCTTCCGATCAGTAAATCCACGCTCTAACCACTTGAGCCATCTCGCCTAGATTCATAAGTTCTTAAGTGCCTCCCAAATCCATCAAAATTATGCTTTTGCTATGTGGTTGTTTCGCATATCACAAGGATAACACAAAGGCGGTAGCAACATAATAGTTACTGTGAAATGTGAAAGGTATCAGTCACAGCAACTGCCGGTCAATGAGTCCAATACTCTAAAAAGGCGTCCGCTGTGAACCAGCACATTCCGACCTTTATCTACATTCCTGTATGGTGCACCTAACGTTCACAAGAAATCTGTATAAAATTTATGGGGATAGATGAGACGGATCCGTCTGAGTAAGTGAGTTGACTCGCCTTACTCAACTTCTGTATAACAACCGATTTCCGAATCGCTTCGTGAAATCTCACGTGAACGAATCAGAATGCCGATGTTAACACACAATTTATATATTCGACTCCCAGATCTCACCTGTACCCCGAACACCACCCGGAATTTATTCCATAACTTTAACATCTATTCGGCTACACAGTCTACAAAGATATTTGCTGCTAGCACGCCATCGGGTTCCTAACAAGGAACTCAGTGTGCACGTAATTCACAGTACAATTTGCTCGGCAATCTACATGGAACAGATATTTCAAATCAAGGAACACGAAAGGCGGACTAGATACGTTCCATAGAATCCCTAACATCTTCAAAACTAAGTCACTGAACTTTAGGCCTTCGCAGGAAATCATACACAAGCGCTTCGTTGGGGTGTCCTGAATTTAACTAGACGACACCTGTCATCATCATCACTGTCAGCTATAAAAACTGCGTACTCGTTGTACAGTGATTGTAGCTGCCGCAGATCAGATTCTGGGATTTCAATCGAGAATTCGTCTTGAAAATTAAATGGAAAGCTAAGAAAGACCAAAAACCTGTTCCGTCCTTATTGGGAATCCTTTTGTATGAATCTAATGAAACTCTAGGGAGTTTTGAACCCGCGACCTCCCGGCAAAACCGTCTGACCGGGAGCGACTGGTCTACAGTGTAATCAACATGCACTTACATGGGATGTATCATCACCCATTCACCAATTGCGGGATTTATTCCACATGGTCACATGTTGAGGACATCCTCAAGTGACGAGTACGCTGATCCAAGCTTTGCACCACTTTTGAAACAGCTGTACATTGCTTCTCAGCATAAATTGACTGTGAGAGCGGGTCAAAATCTTCCCATTCCTTTGAAGATAGCCAGTGCGCGACAGAGAACAGGTTTCCGCCATCTACTCGATAGCGACGAGCACAATAACGTACAGTAACAAGAAGGACAAAGCTTGGTGTCCCGTTCTGTCTTACCCATCTATACCGAGCATTCAGGGCACCGAAAGGCCGGATCAAACCACCTTATCCGCATCAGCACATTTTCGGTCAAACTCCATAAACGATTGTAGACGAGTTTGCTGAATACACCACGAACGAGAGATTCAGTAGGATGTCCCATAGAAGCCAAATTGGTGCGTAAATGAGTGTATTTCACTAAGATTGTAAAACATTTTGTTACCTTGTAGGGTGTGTTACACCACGCACAAAGTGTACCCACCATGAAATCCTAAACTAATTTGCACAGTAATAACATAGCGGGCGAGAAACAATCATCCCCAGTTTTATCACATCCTCGTTTTGAAGTCAGCGCTGAGTGGCTCAGCAAAATATCGCATTGACCATAGTCCAATCTAAATCGAAGTGCCAACAATGAAAACACTCCAGAACTATCAACGGCTGTTTTGTATGTAATCTACGTGTTCCATACAAGTACACAAAGGCTACAAATACCATCATCCTACGCATTGCATCGGTAATTGCTGAATGCTGTCCTACACAGGGTCACACAAGGCAATAGAAGCCTACAGGAGGGAAGCAGGTGTTTCCGATAAATGAAATAGGATGGTCTGAAGTGCATTAGGTACGCATGAACTCCAAATCAGCATGAGATAAAGCCAAACTTAGTGCTGCAGTCGTACCAAGGATTAAGCAGAAATTGTAAAGGAGCCTACAAATCTGTCCACCAAAACCAAATCCAAGCATAAAAAAACAGGGTGAAATGATCCATATCATAAGATGGGACAATCGTTCAAAGCGAGCTTTGTCATACATCCAAACAGACCAGACGACACGTCACAATCTCCTCGAAGCAGTCAAGATGTTCGAATATGAGCATACCATTCCTTAGTAGATAATGAAAAAATTGGCTGGATGACTGCATAGGCATTTCGGCCGATATCAAAGTGTGCCAAATAAAAAAAGAATCACAATATCCATATTCTAAAAACAGCACGTAACCAGTCTGCGGAACAGTATCACTTACCTACGTTCGGTTGGTGATACTATCTGAAAAACATTGCGCCGATCATCTTGAACAGTTTCCTCGATGTAGACGCCTTTCTGGTTTAAGTCAACCAACAGACTGGCCCCGATCTAGAAATGATTAAACACACGCAACTATGCTCATGAGCATGGGATGAAACGCAAAAGTGCTACTGTTGCAAGAGTGCAGCTTAAAAAGTACTTAATTTTAGTAGAAAGTATTTCTCAGAAGTGCGCGCTCAAAATAAGAAAAGTACCGAAAATATCAGAAATGGGACTGAAAATCTAGCGAATAAAACTGCCCGGGAGTCCTGTTGTAGTGTACCAACAAAACGAAGGTGAGAGAACCAGTTGGAAAAAAAATTATGAACTAAGTGTGCTAGAAAGCACAGAACATGGTAGCGAAACGTTTACATGCCAGTTGTCGAGCACAGCTAACAAAACAAGTGTCAACTGATCAACAGCCTACACAAAGCAGAATAGATGACTGAAAATGGGCTCACCTCATCAAACTGCTGGGACATCAGATTTCCACTTTGTGTATAGCAGAAAACTTCGACCCATCGCCAAACCAGGTTGACACGGTTACGAAGCAACAAATGGCCCGCTTTTGAGAGGAGTTTCCGGTTTGGGTGTGAACCGGGTTCCGAAACGATATCATTTGACGAATCTGGTAAAAGAAGAATGAAAAGCAAACTGTGATAGAGTTTGGGTTAAATCAAAGTGTGAAAGCGGAATGACGAACGCTCGCATGAGTAAAAAATGATCTAAACGACACACAGAATGGATGGTTTGATAGTCTTCAACAGACAACTATCAGTCAGCCAAACGGGAACATAGGAAAGTGTGGTGTGCACTCCTCCAGACTCTATTTTTTCAGAAAACCCAGTCATCTGCCAGTGGCGCCTATCTTAGGAACATAGACGGTACCTGTTGTGTGGCAATTCCACCAAATTCTAAACACATATTTAGTGCTGTTGGACATTGGGTCCTGATCGCTATTGTGTGTACTCACTACTCTGTAAGATGCATACCCTTCTTCAGTGACGCTGGTTGTTCGCTAGGGATAGTTACAAAAAACACGGCACCTACATAAAATTGCATACTCCGTCCAAATAGTGTTGAAGTGGTTCATTCGGGCTACAACACAAATGGGACATCAGTACATCAGCTAGTTTAAAAGTTCTATGCATGAAACTCAGTTACTAAGAGGCTAGGTGCCCAAAAATCAGTTGTACTTGGGCCGCTGCGGGCGGAACTCAAGACATTTGTAGCTCAGATGAGAAGAGAGGACCAGAAGTTCAGAGTTCAAACCCAACTATGTTTTTTTCGACTAGTCCTATTTGGGCTTGAACAGTCCGATAGTAGCTCCACCCTAGTGCCTCCCTCGGGCTACACTGCAAATACGTGCCGCAGCTGAACAATTTATGAACAAACATCTCACCAAACTGACGAAAACCCAAATTAATGTGACAGGCGAATACCGAACTCAGACGTAAGTTAATTAAATCAGCAGACTGAAAACAAGCATCCAACCGGTGGAAGTAACATGAGATAAAGACGAATCAACAAAGACAAACGTGCAGGTTAACCTGTCATTGTGATCGAGTATTGGACATTTAAATAGAGATTGCCCCTTACCATCGAGTGTAAATATCCAGGGCTCTGGGCAAAAGGTTGCCAGAGGTTGGGCTTTTATTGCTTCCACCCGATTGTTGAAGAGCTCAATCAACTGTTCCTCAGAAGCGAGTTGCCTGATAAAATGGATAACGGTTCGCAGTTTAACGATAAGCCACTAAGAGAGAAGACTAAAAGGTTACCATCTGTGTTTGCTACGCGTCCATTGTTGTAAACTATCGTCAGCACCTTCCGCTAATTATGATTAGCTCACTGAAGTCCCAGGGAACCGTCCATACCAATCTGACTAAGCTGTCAACTTCGAACTTGCAGTTCAGTATGGTTTATTGATACACTTCATCGTGTACAATAAATAGGTTGATAGAGTTGCGAAATGACGAATGCCCCGGAAAACAGGTGGGGTTGACTTGAATTGCTTGACATCGAGATTTCGACTCTATAACGTATCCAAACGAAATGATTACACCCACTCAGCAATTTAAATGACATAGTCAGAAGACAGAAATTGGTTGGATTTGGGCGCATTTCAGATTCATAAACTGCCAACAACATTGACAATAATAGCCAAATGAATTTGTCATTTGAATGACCGGTTGACTTATTGCCAAGACCAGTTAACGTATTTCTACTGCGTTAACTCGTTCATTCGAAAACGCCTACACGATGCGTTGGAGATATCGGAAATTGAAGGCAAGTAGCAGCACGAGGCAAACATGATGGTAGACTTCAGTAAGGCACTACTCAGAGTTTTATCATCTTATAGCCTCTCTCTCCCCGGTATGGACAGTGCTAAGATGTCTTCACCTAACAAAACTTCTGCAGGTAGCATACATCGAATTCTAATAATACAAATTACAGAGCGGTACCTTCCAAATCAGCCAACAGTGCAGACATGTGAAATTCGGTTTTCCTTATCGTCTGGGGTCAAAACCTTATTTTCCGGGATAGATGGCTAACATGCAGACATAATAATGATATAATATAATCGTTCAGCTATAACACCCTTTCGAGGCCTAGCTACCATGCTATGCAAAGGAAGCACGAGGGCTGCGATACTGCCAGGTTGCCGAAGCCCAGACAAGGGAAGTCGAGAAGCGGAGATCGGGTTCGAACCACGGGGACGAGATGGCTTAACATTCAGACATGAACTAAAGGGATCAGAACCAGAAGTAATTCCGGTAAGAGAACGGCTAAAATTGACAGTGATCGATGGTACCAATGTTTCCCTGTACGGGTTGCTCCAGATGTAAAAACCGAGCAGTGTGAAGTGATACTGCTCGACAGCTTAGTTTTCTAGGCAGCCTATTCGAGGATATTGTCAGGCCGCCCACGGAACCAGTTGGATTGGAAAACTGAGCCTTTGAAGCAGTGCCAGGGTTCTCCTTAATTTTCCTGAACAAGCCAATTGCATAACCACTGTTCAGGATCAAATGCGAAAAGTCTGGCACGTCAACGGAACTGCCCTAGCTTAATCATTTCTCAAGATAGGCAGCATCACTCCACCCATGAATGTTCACTTATGGGGAGGTGTAGCCTTGATGCACTTTAATGTACGTCTGTACAGAATTTGGATCCATCAGTCGTTTTATTTTAACACGAAGACCAAAAAGCTCATTTCCTCAGAGTTGAGCTCAATTTTTGGCGTGCACCACATCAGAATACCCTTTGTGAAGCACCAGATCACCTATCTTGACGTATGAACTTAGGATACTTAATCTTGTCCCTTAAGATTGACAGGGTTGCACTTTATTGTCAGCATTGAGGTTGCTGTTTAGGACACTCGTAGAGACGTTCGGACAATCAAATATATATCATGAGGCGTAATCAACAGAATGCTTTCAGTTACTTGTTTAGTTTTCTTTGGATACTTCTTAGTGCACCAATGACAAATGATATTTGGCACGAGGAACGTCTCGCTTCATGTAACAAACGGTGCATTTTTACACTGGATGAAGATCACAGGGCAAAACATACCGTTGTAACTCTGCTTGAGTGACTTGTAGAAAAGTTGAGGCTGAATTCCCGAAGAGCTCCGAGAGGTTTCTTGCGTGCTGAATCTGCGTGTCAAGGAAGTTGGTCATTGTCAACAAAGGTACAATCTCGCGGAGTCGACAGGCACGGTTAAGATGTCCGTAATGCAGTGTAGCGGTCCAGTTGAAAGTACGACGCAGCTGCAAACAGATCGGAGAGCAACATATAATCAGAAGGATAAAAATTACGGCTGCAAGTTCTGCTGAAGTCGATTTAATTGCCTTTGCGTTAGACTTTTTTGGCAACCGCATGTAAGCGTGATATGCTTGATCACGCGCTCTTACGGAGCCCTCAAGGTCCGTGTTCTCTGAAGAAAGTCCTATAAGCAGTGAACTAAAATGGGAAGCACAAGCTTACCCGAGAAAAAGTCAACGTATTCTTGCATCCGATCAAGCAGTGTCGATCGCATATCAGCTGAAAGTGCCTGATGCAGATCTATAAGCTTTAGCGGTAGCAGGTGAACGAAATGAGGAACAAGTCAATACCTCATCCATGAGGCTGTAAAACTGAAAGCTAATCTGTTTGACGTCCTCATCGGTTTGATTGTCCTAAAAATAAAAGATCGATAAAGAGAAGGAAAAACAAAAGCAAAACCGATTGCAGAGTGGCGCGCAGTGTGTTGGACAGTTTTCGGTAAGCCCCGGATAAAGCAACCTGTACGTTGAACAGACCAACTGCATATATAAAACTAGCTTACCTGCAAGTCACAAATTTCAGATAATGCGTCTTTCACGTTCTTAACATCCGCCGATATTAGCAGTGCTTTTTCTAACGTGACTTTCACAAGGTGTTTCGTCTAGAAGGTAGTACGGTGAACAAGTTATCAAATGGGCATACGTGAGGTGCATCCAATGTAATGTCCTTGAAATGTAACGAATCCAAGTCCGTCATCGGTAACCGAGTCGGTAAGGTTGGTTCGCAGATATGAACCAGAATGGTCTAAACGGAAGAAACAAGAGCTCGATGCGCCAGCACTCACAAGTATCTTCAATACCAACATTAGCATCAACAGAGATTAAAACAATGGCGTTGATAGCCGATGCCATGCTTCCGGAGCAGAAAGCAGAGGAGGTTGACAACAGCAGATCTGCCTTTGAATATCTAACCAGTGCTAACGCTACCAGGTTCCGGACGGAATAAACTTCGCCGTAATAATACGATAGGGATGTTTCGCTCACTGGTGTTCAAATGGAACCAGTAGGGTTTATCGCAACAGAGTGATCGAGGAGTAAGTAATCAGAGGAAAATCCTTACTGTACATCGCCCCTATCACCGCCCAACTTATTTCGCTCGAGAGGGGACGCCCTCCAATAAGCACCTTTGTGTTCTCAACCCGCAAACGTTGGAACTGGACTGGTGATTATATATATATAT